TCACTTCCACCAGCTGTGTTCAAATCATGGTATGTGGGGGCTTCGTGTCCACCTCACGAGTGAAACCCTGCTTCTCTGTCTGCTTGCTTTGGGCGCACAGTGCTTTCCGCTGGCACGGACCCTAGCGGCTCTGTGTCCTTGACTGTCTCCTGGTAGGATGTGGGCTCCAAGGTTGAGGGTCCCTTCCACCTCACACTTGTCCACAGATTACAAAATGCCCACATACTTATTCAGCAATCAAACAGGGAAATGGAATAATCATAGGGTCTACTGCCCGAGTCTCATGTTCTTATCACTTCTGTTTTTCTAAAGGTGTATGACCAGGCTTTCTAAAAATTGTCATGTGGATGTTCTGAGGTTACATTCTGGGAGTAATTTAAGAGACAGACATTTGATCACCACTTAGCTAAATAAGGACTGAGCTGTTTTTATAAATCACAGGCAGAACCTAGAATTGGTTTGGTTTGGTGAGTTTAATTTTCGTGCTGTCTTCATTCATTTGGACACTGAAATAGCATGTTGGAGGTGGTTTCTTTTCAGCCCACAGCGGCGGGTCTTCCCCTCTTCTCACACTCACCGCACAACCCAGCTACCAGGGCAGGCAGAGAAGCCCAGGACGTTGGCTTCTCCTTTCGTCGCCCTGAGGAGTCTGCCGCTGCGGCCTCGGATTCCACTTCGGTGGACAGCTGTTTGCCCTGCGGGAATCTCTCGCTGCTCGTCCCTCCCCACCACGCAGGCGCCTTTCCTGTCCGCCCCAGGTCCCCGGCGCCCTTCCCACCTCCTCCCAGGTTCTCCCGGGGACCTTGTCTGCCACATTCCTTGCTCAGGACTGCAGGACTTACGGTGCCTTCTGGGGACACAGCTGCCTCTTCATCCTGCACCCTCGATTCCAGCTCCTCTAGCCCAGGGCCTGGTCCCTCAGACCCTGCCGTGCCGCATGGGAGGCTATGCCTGCCACCCCTCCCTGGGCACCTCTTCTCTTCTTCTCCAGCTGTTCCTCAAAGCTGGGCATCTGTAGACGCTGTGGATGTTTATAGATTGCTGGATATACTTTTGTGTACGTGCTATCTCGCTAGTGTAAGTGATTTGACAGTTGGGCTTCTGAGATTTAGAACAGTGCACTCCAGTGTTTCTCTAAGTGTGAACCTTGGGTCCTCCTGGGACCATCAGCTTTTTTTGGCTCTTGTTAATGTTTCTGGTCTCAAGATGAGTGTGGTGGTACACACTTGTAATCCTAGCACTTGGGAGGCTGAGGCAGGAGAATCTATGTGAGTTTGAGGCCAGCCTGGGCTACATAGTGTTCAAGCCCGGCCTGGACTACATATCGAGACCGTCTCCAAAAAAATCATACTTGCAGATTCTCCCCACTCCCACAGGACCTACAGAATCAGAATTTATGTGTTTTGAAAAAAATAGATTCCCGTGGTAATTTTGATCAATAAATATTAATATAGAACATTTAGATATTCAATAAATGTTTTAGAATAAGCAACTGAATTAGCCGGAGCCCTGGCATCATACTTTTTTGCATTCACATGCACTGTGGATTTAGATTGTTACTGATCATTTGAACTCCCCATCATGGTTATGAAAGAGATCGTTTTGTTCTGTAAAGAAAAGATCGTCTGTCTGTTCTAACATAAAGCAGAGCTTGGGAGGCCAGCGGCCAAGTTTGAGCAACACAAACAAACAAATTCTCTGAACTCAGCTTCCCTCGATGTAAATTAGAATCATGGCACAAAACAGTCCATTCTTGGCCTGAATCCAGGGGCGAAGCAAGGTCGGAGGTGGGGTCCTGAGCAGGGTGAGCGCGCCTGGCTTAGGTGCTCCCTAGCAATAGACGCATCTGAGTTTCGTTTTACTTTTTGTGGTACTGAGATTGAACCCAGGACTTGACAAATCAGGCAGGCACTGTACCACGGAGCCGTCTGTTACATTTAAACAAAACAACCAAACCCAACCCCCAAAATGAAACCCTGCTGCTGGGACTTCTGTGTATGAGCCGAGTTAGATGGGGCTGTGCTGAACTGTGTCAAACTTACAGGCAGCACCGGTGTAAATAACCTGCAATAGAAAGCAGTCGGGAAGCCCTGGAGCCCCCCAGACGAGCCGCACCCCTGCAGCCTTCAGTTCCCTGGTGGATTCCTGAGCTGTTGTGTTAGTCCCCGGCTGCGTGTAGACCGGAGACTTTCTGGTTGGTTTGTGCGCTGCTCATGACCATGTTACCTCAGCGAACATTTTGACCTGCACTTTTTCTAGGAGATGTTTCCCCTTGGGCCACTGTGTTGGTTCTGCTTGAGCATCTCGGACTCAAGTCATGTTTAATACTTGGCCAGTCACGCGTAACTAAATGAGAACAATTACAGCCCACATGCCAGGGAAGTGTGTGGAGAGGTCTTGTTTGTTTCCCTGCTGTCTGCCCGAGACCAGGAGCTCAGTGTCTTTACAGAAGGAGGTTACACAGGCTCCCGCCACACAGGTATTTATGTTTTCAAGGTCTGGGCTTCTTGGTTCTTGCCCATGTTGTGAAACCACCGAAGAATTCGACACGCTGTGAGCAGCAACCGGACTTGATCTCTGCTACTCAAAAAAGTTTCAGTGGGGTATTGATTAGGATTATGTTAGGCTAGAAATAATGTAAAGACCAACAGGTAGCAGTCTAGGATCGATAAAGCAGCTCAATACAGAATCATGGAATGTGCTGATTTCATCTTTAACTTTAACTCCTTTCTCATATGTGAAACTCAGTGTCTTTTTAATAGAGTGATAAAGAAAATTAATTTTATCTATCCTTTTTTATATGTGGTCCTTTGAGTGCTGTAAAGATATGAATATATTTTCATAACATATGAGGACATACAGTTTTTTTTTTAATGCTTTGGGTTTTTAAAGAAGCAACTACATCTCATTTTTTTTTTTTTTTGGAAAGTTTATATATCTACTTAATGGCTCTTAAAATTTGGGATCGTGTAATAATTTGTGTCACATTACTACTCATTTGGAAATTTAAAAACTGTCTCATCCCCCAGAAGCCCTAGAGTAACAGGCTTAATTTTTTTTTAAAATAGAAGTAGGTAGGTGCCGAAGTGTATACTTTTCTCAAAATCCACTTCTTATTTAGATTGAAGTCAAACCTTATCAGTCCCTTTGCCTTCTTCTGAAAGTGCTGATTCCTGCAGAGCCCTTAGGCCCTGCTCCCTGGTGCACACACTCACAGGAACGTGTGTTCAGAGGTCACTGTGTGTGCTGCTTCCTTGCTGAGTATAAACTGAGGATCTGCTTCTTTGCCCTTGTCTGGGACCATGATGCTCTCTGTCTGCTTGGACCTGAAACAGATTTCCAATGAAGTAGAATTAATGTGCACATAGAAAATCGAACTCTGTCTAATTGAGAAATAATCCTGGCAATTTCTGGAAGAACCAGCCTTTTCTTTTGCATGTTCGGGCTTGGGTTTTGGAGAGGAAGTCCTGAAGGAACAATGCGCACATTCTTTAGGAAGGCAGATTAAGTACGCTTATCTCCAGTTCCAGGCTACAGTAAATGTGGTTTAAGTCAAGACCGTACTGTAGTACCTTCTAATTGTCTGTCGACAGGCTGTCTCACCTCGTTCACGAGAGGTGGGGTCAGAAACTCATAAGTCCTGAGGTTTATTGGTAACTCAGATTTATAATTACACCTTTAAAAAGATCTTGGTTACTTAGAAAAATTTGTAAATTGTCTTTATTCCAGGATATTTATGACCATGCAGACAATGGCATTTGCATGCAGAGTTACTGAGAAAAGCAGAATTATTACCCATGTCCAAATGAGTATCCACATACCGAATTTTCCCAAGACAAAACTGGCAGAATTTGGTAATTTTACCTTTGAGTATAGTTCTTTCCCTGGCTCCTTCTGTCTGTCTTACACAATTCCCCTCTCCTCCTCTAGTTTTTGCTCAATTCACCTTCTCAGTAAGCCACCCTGTTTGAAAATGTGATCTGTCCCTTACTTTCCATTCCACTTTCTCCTTGAGCTGCTTTATTTTTCTTTTCTTCTGTACTCATTCATAATCTTCTAATATTGTATAATTTCCCTATTTACTGTTTCTTGGAACCTCCACGAGGGCAGACTTTTCTTTCTTACTCACTGATGTATTTCCTCCCAGAGCCTAGACCCCTGCTTGATGTACAGAAAGTGTGTGATTAATACTTGCTGAATGGGCAGTCCATATCACTCCAAGACTCAAAGCCCAAGGTAAAGAAAGCCTTTAAAAATACCTAGACTTCTCATTTCTTAGTGTTTGAAAATAAAATGTCTTAGCAAAGTGGAGAAGGATTGTTGGAACTGAAAAGGAATACAGCATTTGTTTTTCTGTCTGTGCTGGCCTATACGCGCATTTCCTTGCGTGGGGCAGACCTGGAGCCTTATGGACATGGCTTTTCTGTTGATGTACGTCATGTAATCTCACTGAACACAGGACAAAGAGATTAGCTTCAGTGAGTTTGCCCAAGGCAGCACATCCATGCAATCCCAAATAGAGTCATGTCATCTGGGTTCCACTGAGATAAGAACTCTGCTTGTGTGTCCTTTTCACACAGTTACAGATACGATTCTTAATCCCAAGCCCATGAGCATTGCCCATAGTTTTACCCATGTCAAATACCGGCAGAGAATCTTATGGCTACCTATCAGAATGGACCTAGCCAAAGAGTGCGTGTCGAGGGGAAAGGCTCTATTGCCAAAGTAGAAATTGGCGTTTTGGTGCTCAACGGCTGCTCCTGGTATTAAAACTCCGGGAGCAGCCACTCCCGCTGGGCCCACAGATCTCTGCCTCCCAAAACTGGGTGGGTGGACGGCCAGCTGGCTGACAGGCTGGGTTTAGATCACGCTGTCTGTCCTCTGCACTGGCAGGGCAGTGACCGCTGGAAACCCTTGCGTCGTTGCAGCCCCTTTCGCCCTGTGGCCTAGATCCCCTTGGAAGCACTCCCACCCCACCCCGTAAAGATCTAAGGGAGGTCATGGGCAGAGTGCAGGAGTTGAAAGCTGGTTGCCTAAGAGCATCAGCTGTTGCCGGGCAGAAGGTGAAGGTGTACTTCGGGTCAGAGAGCGGGAGCGCTGGCTGGGGGTCAGTCGGCTTTGCCTGTGCCGAGCGCGTGGACCTGAGGGCGGATCCCGGGTTAGCTGATGATCATGCCACATCCGCACCCCAAATCATCAGAACCCTTCGAGCTCATCTGCTGATGTCAAAGAAACGATGCCAGTTTCCCGAATGTGAGTCAGGTTGCACTTTAAATACCCTTGCAACAAGGTCTGTGTTTGCACAGCCCCTCCGAGGCAGAGCTTACAACACATAGTGGGCACAGTGCACGGATTACTCCACCTCCTCGGGAGGGCGAGTCTGGCTCCCGTCCCCGCTGGCTCCACTGCTGAGCGCCGTAAATGCTCTGGACTATAAGAAGCTGTTCCCTGTGCAAAGAAAGAGCAATGCATAGCATCAGAGCCATAACTGCGCACATAGAGGCCTCTGAAGAGCCGTCAGCCAGGGGATAAATTCAACTCGTTTCTGCCATCTAGTCATTAAATGATCGCAAAGAGACCCTTTCTTCTTGCTGTAAATTGGTCAGGGGAAAAAAGCTATCTGTCCACCCATCACATTTTTTGTTTCAATTCTTTTAGCAATATTGCACTTGGAACAAGTCTTACTCCCTCACTGAGAAGACTTACACAGTGCTGCTTGTTACTGTTACTGTTCTAACCCACTGCTTTTAGGGGTAGCAGCACTTCCAGCTCCGTTCCATGGACCTGCGTGTGTTATTTGAGAGGCACGACCTGCGTCCTCCACTGAGGATTTTTGTAAGAATAAACTGCTCAGATTGTTTCACAATATTACTGCTCTCCATTTTCAAGTTGAAATATCAAAATTACTTGCCTTCAGGAAAAGTCTTACTGTACATCTGGACTGCATTGTTTTGCTTGTTTATTGCAATTTTAAATGTATGAGCTCACGAAAGGCCACTGACAAACTCAAGCAGTCCTGCACCACTGACACTTTCACAGTGGCCAAGCGGGATTCGAAATGCCTTTTACCACAAAGACATAACTAACTTGGTTCCATTTTCATAAAGGATTTTTTTTTTATGATAAGCAGTAGCAGTCATGGAATGAGTATTCAGGATCAGAGAGTTGCTGTCAGATTCAATATTTCAATGACTTTCAACAAGCCCAAGAAGTCTTCTCATTAAGGAAAGCAAGGCTGGCAAAAGGTTATTTACCCAAGGTCACAGGACAGAGAAGGAGCAGCTGGGATAAAAACCCAGATTAGAGCTGCTCCAGTAAGTGGACTGATGGTCAGTTTGCAGGAATGTCTTCCAGTGTATAAATTATGTGGAATAAAATCGTGTGATCACATATTCATGCAGTCAGCACCAAAATGCTTGGTATACCGGTGAGCATTTTATACTTTTTAAAACAATATGTTTACTTTCTTAAACAACTTTACAATGTAAAATTTTAGTTTTAAAGTAAGCTAGGAGAAACAAGTTTTAAGTGCATGAAAGCTGTAGAACAGAAGTGCACACAGTCATAGGACCTGGAGAGAGCTGTGGTGGATGGGCAGGGCTGGCTGGGGGCATGGTTTCCTGTGCTGTGGTGTGACTCAGACCTTCTACACGGCCCTGACAGCTGTGCAGAGGGGCTGGCCCACACTGCCTCCGTTCGCGTCTCCCTGCGGCGCTCCCGTGAGCGTCCTGCCCTTGCTGTATTTGGGGTTGTCTGCTGCAGAGGAGGCTCCTGGAAGTGGAATTAATTGGTCAGGGGAAAAATACTTCCAGGCTCTTGGTGCCTGCTGCCCAGGTGTTGTCCACAGAGCTACATCCTCGTCCCTTCGCCTGGCGCAGCATCGGAGAACCGTGCCCTGCGCCTCCCCACGCATTAGGGCTTGGCCTCTGCGGTTGCTATGCCTGCCAGACGTCTCGGTCTCCATCGCGCACTGATCCTGCGCAAAACGATCTCGTCTTCCTTAGAACTGAAGCGCTGTGCTGCTGTGAGCATTGCTTGGACTTCATTTACGTCCAGTCTTCATTCACAGGCTGTGCCCCAAAGTGTGGCAGTGGGTGGCAAAGGCAGATCGAGCCATCAGGAGAGCAGTCGTGTGGTCAGAGCACCAGGCTCGCTGTATACCTGCCCACCTGTCTGTCTGTGTGTGGTTTTCTTTATATAGCCACTTACATGAGAGTGGAATACTTGGTCTCGGGCCATCCAGGGGTCCAGAAATGGGATGGGGCTTTCCCAGCATACCCAAGGGTGCCCAGTAGAAGTGTTGTCACACATGGCAGAAAAACATGACCAGTAGATCTGAGCTTAGACTAACTTGTGGGGCTTCTTCAGCTTCTGAGCGGGTGGCACTATAGCATAGCTTTGACTGTTTAGATTTAGAATCAGTGAGTTTGAAGCACAGGTTCATAGATAGCCTGATGACTTGAGTATCAGTTACTCTGTTTAGTCTCCTGGTATCTTTTTTTTGTTTTTTGAGAAAGGTACTCATTAAGTTGCCCAGGCTGGACTTGAAATTCTCCTGCCTCAGCTTCCCAGAGGGTAGGGATTATAGGCATGTGCTGAAAAACCCAACTGCTTTTTTCTTTCCTTTAAAATACACCCAAATGCACACTTTTAAAACATCCAGTATTTGTATATCAGGGAACCACTTAAGGCCAGCACTGTGGCGTAAGGCCCTGGAAGATAAGCAGGACTTTGATGGAAGAGCAGATGAGGCAGCTCGTGTTAGAGATACCAGAGGCGTGTGTCTGTGCCGTAAGACGCAGAGCGGTGATGAGAAGGCGGCGTGGGCCTGACCTAGAAGCAGCCGGAGATCGAAAAGGACAAAGTTCATCAGTGGCATCAAGGTCCAGAGAACAGCGCGTGTGAAGGAGGTGGGGCTGTCAGTGCGTTATGTCCCGGGAGGCGCGGGTGCAGCACAGAACTCGGGGAGCTGTGGCCAGTCCCGCGGGAGTGAGCAGAGGGGAGGACATCTGGGCCACACAAGAGCTTCTGGACATCTCAGAAGCGGTGTCCACGCTGCTGAGGGTCCAGAAGGTGGGGCCTGCGGCCCACCCATCAGCAAGTAAACCGGGCACGGACACCATGTGTCCACAGTGTAAAGACCACGTCCTCCTGTGCACTCACTGGCACGGTTCCCAATGTGTCTTCTCCCTGGTGCTCTCAATACATTTCCTGTATTCGTTTCCATGCTCAGACAGCATGGGAACAGCGTCCTTCAGGAAGATGGAACTGTAGAAGTTGGTGAAGCAGGAAGCCGCAGCTGTGCGATCGGCTGGGCGGTCGGCACCGCCAGCAAACAACAAAGTCGCCAGATTTTAGATGGAAAAGCAGTGAGTGGTCCCTGTACGCGCGCAGGGTCTCTGGGCAGGCGAAGTGCTCGCTGGAGACTCTGACCTCTTAAGCAGTCGGTCCGCCTGAGGTTTTCTGCTCACTGTTGTTCAATCCCTATTAAAACAAATCAGTAGACTTACGAATTTGACTTAAAAGAAAGAACTGCTTTTTTGGGAAGAAGTGGGTTCTAAGTGAGAGTGGCTTGCATTTTTGAATGTTAGAAATCACGAGGCGCGTGACAGGAAGCTGGAGAAAGGGCTGCAGGGACTGCGGAAAGTTTAACATCCTAGGTGAGGAGCCGTGTGGTGGGCCAGCTGCTGCAAACCCGGCCTCGGCCGCCTCCCGGTCACCATTCTCTGCGAAGGTGCCCAGCTCTGTTCCTGGGTTTCTTTACACAGTGAGGGCAGTGGCTTTTGCAATAGTTTAAATGTGTGTCAGATGGCTGGAACACTTAAAAACCTCTTGAATTTAGTAATTGCTCAATGTAACAATCTGAGCAGGGTGAAAGCCACTCTTTGTGGCTCATTGCAGTGCCTGGTGTGCATTCTGAGTGAGGCAGCTTTGTGTCTCTGTTGGAGCAAGATGTTCCCGTGAGAACCTGTGGTGTTCAGGACCTTCACAGTGCTTAGGCACTTAGATTTCCTCATTGTACAGAAAATACTTTCAACTCAAGGATGTACCTCAGATCAACACTTGTCAACCCTCCCTTTTAAAAAATTATATTTTTCTTTCTCCTAGTAGGACACCTTTTCTCAGTAAGCAAAGCTAGGTGAAGAATATTTCTGCTCTCAATTCTTACACATAAGCAAAGTAGCAAAGAGACTAGAGTGAGCAGAGGCTCAGGTTTGCCGAGTGACTGCTGTCTTGACACAGCACAGCTTGCACACATCCTGAGGAGGACACGCTTGGGATGTGCAAAGACACCTTAGCCTTCCGACTTTAAAAGAAATGATGATTCAGAGATCACTCCATGCCCTAAGCAGTTTTCCTTGCTTCTGAAACTGTGGTGAAAGACCATGGGCTCCGTGACGTTGAGAATCTCCTGGGTCCCGTGCTTAACAAACCCGAGTCATCCCTTAGGTCTCAAGCATCAGCTGACATTCAAATGAAGAAATTGTTCTACTGTCTCACTACCTAGTAGTAAAAAGAGACTTTTAAAAGTAAAGCAAAGCTCCCATTTTCAGAAGAAATGGCAGCTGTGCTCTTAATTTCCTTGTTTCTTGAGGGATCTTGAGGGATTTTTTTCCCCATTAAGAATTTTCTCTCAAGCCAGGCATGGTGGCGCACACCTGTAATCCCAGTACTCCAGAGGCTGAGGCAGGAGGATCACTGTGAGTTCAAAACCAGCCTGGGCTACATAGGAAGTTCCAGGTCAGTCTCAACTACATAGTGAGACCCTGTCTCAAAAAACCAAAAAAAAAAGGGGGGGGGTTCTCCCAAGATGTCTTCCTATCACTTTTTCTTGGCTCTAAACTTGTAATAAGGCCTCAGGGGGTATTGGTGGTAGTAAAGCAAAAGTCTTTGTGGAAATGATGTAAATAGATATGAAGATGAAAGCCTCCTGAATCATAAGAATAAAAGGCTCACAAGCCAACTGGGACTCTGTCTGACAGGTTTTGGTCTGGTTCCCCCACGGGAACCCATGACAGGCACCGCAGACAGCAGCTTCCTGTCCAACTTGTTCAGCTGTCCTCATTAGAGTGGAATCAGTGCCTCCCGGCTGCAGCAAAGGAGGGGGCGAAGGATCAAGTGTCGCTAGAGCAAATCGGAACACTGAGATTTAGCAAACAGTGCAGTTGGATGTATTCATTGAAAATAGTGTAATCATGTGACAGTGCCTATTTTGTCTGTGATTCCAGTGTTTAAAAAACAAGCTGTTCCCACGCTTATCTAATGCCACTGACACCTTTGCTATCGGTGTTGTATTAAGTGTGAGGTGGCCCCTTGTTTGTTGTAGAATTATTCACAGTAACCAGAGTATGAGATCAACATCAACCCAAGTATCTGTCACCCTGTGCCCCTGTCAGCAGTGCACACAGCCTAATTATGGTGTAATTAGAAAGTGGAATGTTCTTTAGCCTTAAAAAGGAAGGAGATTCTGCCATTTGCAACAGCATGGATGAAATGGAAGATCTGATGTTAAAGGAAATCAGCCAGACACGGGGAGGAAAGCACTGTGTCATTTCTCATTTGTGGCAGTTCCACCTGAACACGTCTGAGGCCTGAGTGGTATCACCCCAGCCAGGGAACGTATTTTTGAAGCTGCATCACAGTTTAACAAACACATCCTTGAATTTTTCCTGTGTCTGTTCTCTTCATTTCTTGCCCTTTTTTCTGTTCTCCTCAGCCTTGGCACTGTTGCCATTGGATACTGGGTGGCATTTCATGGTAGAGGGCTGTCTCATGTGGCCCCCCAGGCCCTGCCTACCAGCTTCTTTTCTCATTACTAAAATATCTTCTGAGAGGGCCAGAGATTTAGCTCAGTGGTTCCACTGCCTGCCTCTTAAGCGCAAGGCCCTGAGTTCGATCCCTGGTACAAAAAAATATCTTCTGAGAGGCAAAGTCATTGGTCCCAGTGAGAACCACTAGCATTGACGAAAAGAGAAGAGGGTTATAGACTAAGCTGTGGGCTTCCTCCCACATGTACTAAAAGGAGTTCTAACTACATAGGGATTCTAATTTTAGTTCATTTTAAGGTGTACAGCAAGGCAGTAAGAGTTCATCTGTGAGCTATGTGTGTATGAATTGCTTTAATGCATTCTCCTAACTGCGGACTATCAACTGCTTGCATTCTCAGATGCTTTCTTCAGCATAAGGGAAGGGGCTGGCTTTGGATATTGCAGACCAGGAACAGACAGTATCTGTGGGGACTTGTCCCTGCATTGCAGAAGAACAGTGGCTTTAGGTCTTTCTTTCCAGGTTAATCCATGTAGCAAATGGAGCAATAGTTCCAGAGTTGTTCACATCTTAACCTCACATAATATTACCTTACATAGCAGAAGAGATTTTGCAGATCTGATAGGTAAGGATTTGAAGCTGGGGAGATTATTCTGGAAT